ATTACAGGTGCCCGCCACCACGCCCAGCTGTTTTTTCTTTTTAGTAGAGTCGAAGTTTCACCATGTTGGTCAGGCTGGTCTCAAACTCCTGACTTCGTGGTCCACCCGCCTTGGCCTCCCAAAGTGCTAGGATTACAGGCATGATAAGCAAGATTCTTAGAAGACCAAACTTGGAGTGGAAAAGCAGGAATATGGTTTTGGAAATATGATGTTTGGATCTCTAGTCGACATATAAATGGAAATAAGCAGATATTTGGGCATACAAATCTATAGGAGAGAGTTCTAAATATATAAATTTAGTAGTTGTCAGCATGATGATGATATTTGAAGCCATTTGACTTTAAGCCAGCCATTTGTCTTTATAAATCTGATTATAAAGACAACATTAAAAGATAGAACTCTATCTCATCCTAACCAGAGAAACAGATAAGGAATGATCAACAAAACAAACTCAGAAGCCATGGCTACAGAGGTATGAGGAAAACCAAGATTTGGTGTCTTGGAAGACAAGTGTATTAGATATCTACAGGCATATAACAAACTGTTGTAAAGCGTGTTGGCTTAAAAGCAAACCATTGTTTGCTTATTGTTCATGGTTCTGTGGGTTGACGTGTTAGGTTGGGCTCTGCAATTGTGGCTTGTTTCTACTGCACGTAAAATCACCTGGGCTCCTCTATACCTCTAGACCTCATCTGGTAACAGTGGCATGGCTGAGGCCTCTGCTCACAAGGTCTCCTGACCGTCTGGAGGTCAACTTTGGATTGTTTCCACGGAGGAAGGTTTCCAGTACAGAGAGCCCAAACTCTGCAATATTCCTTGAGGTTCAGGCTAGAGCTACACAAGTCATTTCTATCATATGCTCTTGGTCAAAGTTGGCAACAAGTACAGTTCAGAAAAAGGACCCTGGGAATTAAAACTGTTTTGCAAAAAGCTATAAAAAATGTCTGACAATTCTTAGCAATCTGCCCTATTTAGTGAAGAGAGTATTTCAGCAAAAGGAAATGGGAAACTGTCTACCGTTATATCAGGTAAAATGAAGGTCAAAAGTGCACTTTTCATTAATACAATAAAAGCTCAACCAAATTGTTTATAAAGAGAATGAGATCATGAGGAATATAAAGGGATCATGTTTAATTGTTTTTTGTGTGGGAGTTATGAATATCACATGAGAACTTTCACAGTTTGAAAAAATTTGATGCATGGCCATGGGCTTTTAATGATATATTTAAGAAAAAACAGTGACCTTATTCACATTTTTATAGGATTTTAGTTTTCAGCCCTGACAGCTTCCTTTGTTAATTCAACCAGGTAGCAATTTGCTATAGTTTTTAAGTGGAAGAATGTTATTGAGAACTATATTTTTAAATAAGTCAAGGGTAACACCATGACAACTAATGTTTTATTCTCCAAAATGTAAAGCTTACTGGCAATTTAAAAAAATAAGTGTTTGATCCAATATAAATGTATTTTTAAAAGGCTTATAATTTTAAAGTTGAGAAAAATATTAAAGATCTGAATATATAAAATTGCATTCGATTTTTCTATTTAAAAATATACTTACATATGACCTGAAGAGTAGCAAGTTCACTTAAAAGAATGCTAAGTGATTATTTTCTCCATTAAGGTAAAAGATAAATTATTTTTAACTAACACTTTTTTTTCAGTCGAGTGAAATTTAGTATATAACAATGAGAGACTCTTAGATGGCTATTGCTACAATAAAGAAGAACAAAAATTACTTCTGGAAAAATATCTTTGTTCTTACATTTGGAATAACTAGAGGCAAATAATCTCTTGTCATATGATTAAGTACCAAAGGAAGACTATTGTGTTTAAGGTATGAAAAAATAATCACAAATTTAGCACTAGATTTTTAAAATTACATACTTAATGTTTCATTATATAACCAATACTTATTGAGGCCAAAAGTCTAAATTAAACAATGCAGATAAACAAAATTAAAAAAAAAAAATTCCCCTAGTGTCAGATAACCAGTGATAGCATTTTAAGCAAACTATTTGAAACATATTTCCATTCTAATATAAAGTATATATAATATGTATATAAAGTTAAGAAATTTAATATGTTCTGGCTGTAACAACTTGGATTTTTCATCCAAACATATATGTCCTCGATTATTCAATCATTATATTATTGGAATTAACTTTTAACTTCATTGGTACTTATAAATTATTTAAAAATCTGTTTTTGATGATTTTTGAATTTTTTGTTTTATTGTTGTAAACAATAGAAAAATATGCATCTCACATATACATGCCTTTATGTGCTATTAAAGTATCTTACAAGAATAAACTTCTATATCTGTGATATGATAATGTTCAAGTTTTCATATGTACTGCCAACTTGCTATTATGTTTACCTCCAAAACAATATAATTTTTTTTTCACTAAATGCAAGAGAACATTTGATTTTATAATTAATAAAAATTTAATCTATGCTAAGTTCATTTAAGTCCTTTGTGAGTTTAAACACATTTATTGTTTTATCTTGTTGGATATATGGATTTCTAAATCATGATATGGCAAATCATGTTCCTAGCCCATTCCTGTCTCATAGTATTAAGTTTCCCTTTTGACTCATTTTAAAAACATAGATGAAGGACATTATTCTGACCTGGTTGTTTGTAAATAATTTATTCTAGACTCCTCTCTGGTTTTTAGTTTGGTGACATTTTTCTAAGTGAAAGCTGTTAACAATCCTATTATTTTCCATCTTCTGTGTCATCTCCTGAACTCATCTAGGTACTCATCATCCTATCTCCTTTCAGTACACTTTGCAAGATTTGTGCATTCTACTCCCAATCATAGATTGTGCTTTCTTGTTAACTTGTGTGGTCAAACCTCATCATTTACACCTCAACTTAGAAATCATCACACTATTATTTCTAAAGTGGAGAATTCTGCAGCAACATAATGATCTGTCTTTGACTCTTCCTTTTTTTTTTCTTTATAGAGTTCATTTTAATTCATAATAATTTCATTTTTAAGAAAAAATTAGCCATATATGTTGAATATTAACTCTGTAAAGGCGAGATTATATCTGTGTCATTCATTGTCAGATGCCAAGAGTTTTACAGTTTAGCTATATCATATATGTTTAACCAATTTATTAAATGTATGAAAATGTTCCTAACTAAAAAGCTACTTATATATCCCATTACATTAAAATCTAGTTATATTATAGTTTTATTTTTACATTTAATTCATTAAGCTACTTTTATTTTGCTAAAGTAGTAAGTAGGAATATGACTTTTGCGGTCAAAATTTAAGATAGATATCACATAATATGTTTATGTATTTATTTTCTTATTGACTTAAAATGTCAACATGATTCAATACCAGTGTTTTCCCCAAAACTGGTACCATTTCTGGAATTTTAAATTGTGTCTCACTGTTCTGCTCCATGGGCAGTGACTCTTATCAAGATAAAGACTGGGAAATCATAACTAGGAGATATTGAAAAGAATTATATTTATGGAACACTCAAATAGGATGAGACTATAGTCGCATAAATATTTTAAGCAAATGATCACCAAATGGCATCCAGAAAGTAGAACGTCATTATCAGTCACCTAGGTAAGCCTAATGCATATTAGTTAACTTCTACTCTTAACTGCCTGTATGGTTTGGGTGTATCCCCACCCCAAATCTCTTCTTAAATTGTAGCTCCCACAAATGTGGGAGGGACCTGGTGAGAGGTAATTGAATCATGGGAGCTGGTCTTTCCCGTCCTGTTCTCATGATACTGAATAAACCTCATGTGATCTGATGGTTTTGCATGTGGGAGTTTCCCTGCACAAGTTCTCTCTCTCGTCTTTCACCTTCCTCCATGATTGTGAGGCTTCCCAAGCTATACAGAACTGTGAGTCCATTAAACCTCTCTTTGTTTACACATTACCCAGTCTTGAGGATGTCTTTATCAGCAGCATGAAAACATACTAATACACCAACCTGTGCTTGCTTAATAAGCTCTTGACAGTGACCATGGTTTTGGGAATGGATGCTCTGCATAGAGTTGCCACCATCATCATCACTAGCCTAAAAAAATCCAAGACATAAAAGGAAATCCTGAGAAAGTTAATTTTCCTAGGGTACTCTGGGCACCAAATCTTAAACAGTGGCATGCAGGCAAAGACATGTTTTTGTCCAATCATCTTATAATTGGCCAGCTAATATAGTTCTGAACACCTTCATCAGAGTATATCTTAAAGTTGTTGGCTACTGTTTTTGCCCCATGTTCGACCACAAGCACCATGCTAAGTGAGCTATTTTTAGGAACACCTCCTTAGACTGAAGCAGTATCTATCACAACAAAAGTGCTCATTAAATCTTAGCTATTAGCATTTTAAAACTATTAGTAGTCTTATGAATAAAGAAATCTATATTGTAAAATCTCAGCATTAAAAATATTTTTGTTGGAAAATATAATTACTTCAAATGTTAAACAAATCAACTATTTTCTGCAGTATATACATATAAATATATATATATATAATTTAATAAGCCCTTGACCCTAAATATTCTACTAGACACTAGTCACCAACATCATCTTATGAGAGCTGTGAGGAAACAATTGTTCTTTGTTCATCATAATGGTAAGTGTTTGTTCAACATGATTTTTGCATGTTGAACATGAAGAGGTCAGCCAAGAGACAATTAGTAAAGTAAATGCTCATTTCAGAGCAGCAACTGTGCATTTATTTAATAATTTACAGATTATCTTCCTCTCTTTAATTATGCTATTACTTCATTAACAGATAACAGAAGGAATTTGGAGACTTTCATCTTTAGTTTTTAGCATAAATAAGCTTCCATTAGGCCATAATTGTAAAAGCAACTCTGCTTTACATTATCTATTGATATTTTGTGCAATGCATTTTGCAGTACCTGAGCTCATTATTTTTGATACACCTGGGCCTGGACTTAGCTCAAATTACAGAGTGCAGAAGAAATATTATGACCTTGAAATCATGGAAAAAATCTACACAAACTGAGACAGAGAAGGAAAATAATTGAATGAATTGATCATGAATTACCTATGGAATAACACACAATGTTCTAACAGTGTGTGATTGGAGTCTCAGATGGAGAGGATAGAGAGAATGATGGAGAAATCATATCATAAGAACTAATAAATGAAAATTTTCCAGATTTGGTTTTAAAAATTAACCAAAGTTATGGTGAAATCCAAGCAGAATAAATACATAGAAAACCTCAAGTGTGCATAGCATAATCATACTACTAAAAACAAAATGAAGAAGAAAATTTTAAAAGTAGTTAGTGAAAAAAATGTAAGCTTATATACAGAGTAAGTAAACACATATTTCCATCGCTTAAAAAATTTGATAATCAGTGGCATGAATGCTTAAGCAAAATGCATCAAATGTTGTGTAATTATCTAAAACAAATGACACTCAAGTCTGTTTTCTGCATAATATTAAGAAAAATTAATTTTAATGTTTAAGTCTTCAATAATAAAATAGAATAATTTTCTTCCTCTGTTTATTATTTTTTTAATTGTACTTTAAGTTCTGGGGTCCCTGCGCAGATGTTGCAGGATTATTGCATAGGTACACACGTGCCATAGTGGTTTGCTGCCTCCATCCCCCTGTCACCTACATCAGGCATTTCTCCAAATGTTATCCCTCCTCAACCTCCCCACCCTCTGCTGTCCCTTCCGTAGCTGCCCACCCCCAAGCAGACCCAAGTGTGTGATGTTCCCCTCCCTGTTCCCATGTGTTTTCATTGCTTAACACCTGCCTTTGAGTGAGTATATGTGGTGTTTGGTTTTCTGTTCTTGTGTCAGGTTGCTGAGAATGATGGTTTCCAGATTCAACCATGTCCTTGCAAAGGATATAAACTCGTCCTTTTTCATGGCTGCATAGTATTCCATGGTGTATATGTGACACATTTTCTTTATCCAGTCTATCATTGATGGACATTTGGGTTGGTTCCAGGTCTTTGCTATTGTAAACAGGACCTCTATGAACATACCTGTGCATGTGCCTTTATAATAGAATGATTTATAATCCTTTGGATATATAACCAGTAATGAGATTGCTGGGTCAAATGGAATTTCTATTTTTAGATCATTGAGAAATTGCCACATTGTCTTCCACAATGATTGATCTAACTTACACTCTGAGCAACAGTGTAAAAGTGTTCCTATTTCTCCACATCCCCTCTGGCAGATTTTTTAATGATCACCATTCTAACTGGCATGAGATGGTATCCCAATGTGGTTTTGATTTACATTTCTCTAATGACCAGTGATGAACATTTTTTCATATGTTTGTTGACCTCATAAATGTCTTCTCTTGAAAAGCATCTGTTCATATCTTTATTTGACTTTTGAATGGGTTTGTTTTTTTCTTGTAAATCTTCTTTAGTTCTTTGTAGGTTCTGCGTATTAGGCCTTTGTTAGATGGGTAAACTGCAAAGATTTTCCCCCATTCTGTTGGTTGCTGGTTCACTCTAATGATTGTTTCTTTTGCTGTGCAGAAGCTCTGGAGTTTAATTAGATCCCATTTGTCTATTTTGGCTTTTGTTGTCATTGTTTTTGATGTTTTAGTCAGGAAGTCCTTGCCTATGCCTATGTCCTGAATGGTTTTGCCTAGGTTTTCTTCTAGGGTTTTTATGGTGTTAGGTCTAATGTTTAAATCTTTAATCCATCTGGAGTTAATTTTTGTGTAAGGTGTCAGGAAGGGGTTGAGTTACAGCTTTCTGCACATGGCTAGCCAGTTTTCCCAACACCATTTATTAAACAGGGAATCCTTTCCCATTGCTTGTTTTTGTCATGTTTGTCGAAGATCAGATGGTTGTAGACTTGTGGCATTACTTCTGAGGCCTCTGTTCTGTTCCATTGGTCTATATCTCTGTTTTGGTACCAGCACCATCCTGTTTTGATTACTGTAGCATTGTACTAAAATTTGAAGTCAGGTAACGTGATGCTTCCAACTTTGTTCTTTTTGGTTAGGACTGTCTTGGCTATGCAGGCACTCTTTTGGTTCCATATGAAGCTTAAAGTGATTTTTTTCCAGTTCTGTGAAGAAGGTTGATGGTAGCTTCATGGGGAATAGTATTGAATCTATAAATTACTGTGGGCACTATGGCTATTTTCATGATATTGATTCTTCCTAACCATGAGCATGTTTTTCCATCTGTTAGCATCCTCTGTTATTTCCTTGAGCAGTGGTTTGTAGTTCTTCTTAAAGAGGTCCTTCACTGCCTTTGTTAGTGTATTCTTAGATATTTTATTCTTTTTGTAGTGTCTGCAAATAGAGACAATTTAACTTATTCTTTTCCCAATTGAATTCCCTTTATTTCTTTTTCTTGCCTGATTGCTCTGGCCAGAACTTCCAATACTATATTGAATAGGAGTGGTGAGAGAGGACATCCTTGTCTAGTGCCAGATTTCACAGGGAATGCTTCCAGTTTTTGCCTATTCAGTATGATATTGGCTTGGGTTTGTCATAAATAGCTTTTATTATTTTGAGATACATTCCGTCAATACCTAGCTTATTGAGAGTTTTTAGCATAAAGGGCTGTTGAATTTTGTGGAAGGCCTTCTCTGCATATACTGAGATAATCATGTGGTTTTTGTCTTTGGTTCTGTTTATGTGGTGCATATATTGATCCAACCTTGCATCACTGGGATGAAGCCTACTTGATCATGATGGATAAGCTTTTGATGTGCTGTTGCAATCAGTTTGCTGGTATTTTGTTGAAGATTTTTGCATTGATGGTCGTCATGGATATTGGCCTGAAGTTTTCTTTTATTGTTTTGTCTCTGCCAAGTTTTGGTATTAGGATGATTTTGGTCTCATAAAATGAGTTAGGGAGGACTTCCTCTTTTTGTATTGTTTGGAATAGTTTCAGAAGGAATGGTACCAGCTCCTCTGTGTATGTTGGGTAGAATTTAGCTGTGAACCCATTTGGAACTGCACTTTTTTTTGGTTGGTAGGCTATGAATGGCTGCCTGAACTTCAGACTTTGTTATTGGTCTATTCAGGGTTTAATCTTTTTCCTGGGTTAGGCTTGGGAGGGTGCCAGTGTCCAGGAATTTATCCATTTCTTCCAGATTTACTGGTTTATGTGCACAGAGTTTGTAGTAATCTCTGATGGTAGTTTGTATTTCTGTGGAATCAGTGATAATATCCCCTTTATCGTTTTTTTATTGCATTTACTTGATTTTTCTCTCTTTTCTTTTTTGTTAATCTGGCTCGTGGTCTATTTTTTTGATAGTCTCAAAAAAACCTTCTCCAGAATTTATTTATTATTTTTTGTGGCATTTTTTTGCGTAGCATTTTTTGTTTCCCTATCTCCTTCAATTCTGCTCTGATCTTAGTTATTTCTTGTCTTCTGCTAGGTTTTGAGTTTTTTTGATCTTGCTCCTCTAGCTCCTTTATTTTGACAATAGGGTATCAATTTTACCAGAGATTCTAGTACATTGTGTCTTCATTCTCATTGGTTTTGAAGAACATCTTTATTTCTGATTTCATCTCAGTGTTTATCCAGTATTCATTCAGGAGCAGGTTGTTCAGTTTCCATGTAGTTTTGTAGTTTTGAGTCACTTTCTTAATCCTGAGTTCTAATTTGATTGTGCTATGGTCTGAGAGACTGTTATGATTTCTGTTCTTTTGCATTTGCTGAGGAGTGATTTACTTCCCATTATGTGGTCAGTTTTAGAGTAAGTGCAATGTGGTGCTGAGAAGAATATATATTCTGTGGATTTGGGTGGAGAACTCTGTAGATGTCTATGACGTCTGCTTGGTCCAGATCTGAGTTAAAGTCCTGGACATCCTTGTTGATTTTCTGTCTCGTTGATCTGTCTAATACTGACAGGGGAGTGTTAAAGTCTCTCACTATTATTGTGTGGGAGTCTAAGTCTCTTTGTGGGTTGTTAAGAACTTGCTTTATGTATCTGGATGTTCCTATATTGGGGGCATATATATTTAGGATTTTTAGCTCTTCTTGTTGCATTGATCCTTTTTTTTTCTTTTTTTATTGCATTTNGTATCTGGATGTTCCTATATTGGGGGCATATATATTTAGGATTTTTAGCTCTTCTTGTTGCATTGATCCTTTTTTTTTCTTTTTTTATTGCATTTTAGGTTTTGGGGTACATGTGAAGAACATGCAAGATTGTTGCATAGGTACACACATGGCAGTGTGATTTGCTGGCATCCTCCCCATCACCTATATCTGGCATTAATCCCCATGCTATCTCTCCCCAACTCCTCGCCCCTTGCTGTCCCTCCCTTATTTCCCCCTGATAGACCACATCAGTGATGCTCCCCACTCTGTGTCCCTGTGTTCTCATTGTTCACCACTTGCCTATGAGTGAGAACACACGGTGTTTGATTTTGTGTTCTTGTTTCACTTTGATGAGAATGATGGTTTCCGGGCTCATGCATGTCCCCACAAAGGACTAGAACTTTTCGTTTTTGATGGCTGCATAGTATTCCATGGTGTATATGTGACACATTTTCCCTCTCCAGTCTATCATCGATGGGCATTTGGGTTGGAGGCAAGTCTTTGCTATTGTAAACAGTGCTGCAATGAACATTCATAGGCATGTGTCCTTATAGTAGAACGATTTATAATCCTTTGGATATATAACCAGTAATGGGATTGCTGCGTCAAATGGAATTTCTATTTCTAG